ACCCGTTGGGTTGCACTCCCTCGAGGAGGCCGCTCTCCTATCTCAGAGTTACATGCTAATTTCTCACATTAACATCACTAGCCCCGCCAACTTCTTTATGACCCTTGGGCTACACCCATTTCAAACCTAGTTACTACTGGTCAAGACTAATTATAGAATCGATCGAAATTGAGAGAAATGAAAATAATTTCAACCAGCTTGGTGCTGCTTAAAAGCCATTCATCAAATAATACATTGTTTACATGCACACCTATACAGGTCAATGGGGATTACCTACACGCAGACAATAACCAGTACTGCAATTTTAATGCACGTAAACAACAGGAGATACAAGAACAATGTACACGTATAATGTACATTGATTACCATATCAATAACCCAAACGACAATGGATACCCATTGTAATTTAGATCCATTCATTAATCCCCCCCCCCCTCCTTCGCAAGTGAAGGCCTCACAAGTGATGTCATCACATCTATCCCTCTATTTAAGGAACAAAACAGGAGGATTTATTCACAAATCTGGCTGTCGCTTGATGAGGCTAGTTTTAATTACTGGCGAAACGCCACAATCAGATTGTAAATGTTGTGGATTTGATCTCCAACACACCGTTGTGCTGTACTAGTGTAGTGATACAGCACTGACTGCTGTCCAGCAGCAGCAACTGCAGTGGACAGTTAGTGCACACGCCGTCGAGCAGAAACACAGGTGTGCCAGCAGGGCGGAGGAACTGGGGAAAGTGTCATGGAAGACCTCAATGGGAGCCCCCCGGGAACCCTCTAGTGGGTTCGAGAAGGGAGGCGCGGCTAGGGCAGAGCCAGGCCGCACCGAGTAGAATAAAAGCAGCAGAGAGCAAGAGCTCCGGGCTGCCGGTTCTGGGAGTGGACTCATGTCGTCGTCGCTGTCACGTGTCCTCTCGGGTCAACCAGAGTGCCATGGCCTTAAGTAACCCCATTCCTATGGCCGGCACTCCCACACCCTATCCTGTAGGGTTGACACTGCACGCCAAGTCTGCGCTCAGCGGGCCCCTCTAGGGCCGGTACTACTTCCACACCCTTGTGGTGTTCGCAATGTCATTAAACCGCACGCCATTCCTTTCTAGGGCCGGCACTGCATGGTGACAGCCCGCGATGTCACTACAGAAGTATCTGACTCTACAGTAGTATCTACTGACTGTAGTAGTATGTACTGACTATAGTAGTATCTACTGACTATAGATGTATCTATTGTCTGTACAGTAGTAGTGTCTACTGAATACAGTTGTATCTACTGACTCTATAGTAGTATCTACTTCGTGTATAGTAGTATATACTGACTGTAGTAGTATCTACTGACTGTAGTAGTATCTACTGACAGTAGTACCTACTGACTCTACAGTAGTATATACTGACTCTACAGTAGTATCCAATGTTTGTAGTGGTATCTACTGACTGTAATAGTATCTACTGACTCTATCATAGTAACTACTGACTGTATAGTAGTATCTACTGACTTTATAGTAGTTACTACTGACTCTACAGTAGTATCCCATGAGTGTAGTGGTATCTGACTGTAGTATCTACAGACTCTATATTAGTAATTACTATTGTGGTATCTACTGACCTTATAGCAATATCTGACTCTATAGCAGTAGCTGCTAACTCTATAGTAGTAGCTCCTGACTCTACAGTAGTATCTACTGACTCTACAGAAGTATCTACTAACTCTATAGTAGTATCTACCGAATCTACAGTCGTATCTACCGACTCTATAATAGTGTAGTGTCTTGTAAAATCACTCAGACTGACATGTTGTAACAGGTCACCTGCTTACACTTCATTAGCCTAATCTCCCACCAGTTGTCGGCACTCCTATCACTGTCTATACGGTCACTTCTGTTAACCAATTCCCACTCATAACTATGTTACACCTCGCTAACCTGCACACAGCAGCTCTCGCTCTCGGCAGCACCGTACTCAAGGCTTCGCACCCAGCAGCTCTCACCCAGAGGCTTGCACCCAGCGGCTCTCACCCAGAGGCTCACACACAGCAGCTCTCACACAGAGGCTTGCACTCAGCAGCTCTCACACAGCTTCTCACACTCCACCGCTGCCCTCGCCTACGTTCCCTCAGACCCACTCACTTGTCCATCCCGGGCGGGGGGATCAACCATCACCCGCCCGGCGACTCGTGAGGGTTGTGGTCCGTTCCCGGCTTGAGGGGCAGCGGCGAGACATCTTTTTTCTTTTGTCCCCAGCAACACAAACTCTCTCTCTGCTCTCAAACACGTCCTTATATTCCCCTCCCAGTTGTCCAGCTCCTCCCTTGTCTCTTTAGGCCATCAATCACCCCTTATCGCACGTCTCCCTGGCAACACCTCCGGTGTTAGCGTTTAACCCCGGGCCGACCTGGTCTACACCAGCTTCTCTCCCAAATTCGGTGGCGGTTTGCCCGGGCAACCTCATGTTGCACAAGCGCACGTGTTTGACCTCGGTTGCCCTCAGCCAACAGCGTGCGCCACGTATTTCACGACAGTACAATAGTTTCTACCGACTCTAAAGTAGTAACTACTGACTCTACAGTAGTATCTAACGACTATAGTAGTATCTACTGAATCTATAGTAGTATATCTTGACTCCATAGTAGTATCTATAGACTGTATAGTAGTGTCTACTGACTATAGTCATAACTACTGACTCTATAATAGTATCCACTGACTATAGTAGTAACTAATAACTCTATAGTAGTATCTTCTGAATCTATAGCAGTATCAATCTTGATTTGAAGCTTTCGTGATTGCAGGAATGCATACTCTTTGGTTCTTTCGGTAAAGCTACATTGGAGAAACCAAACGACATATCTCGGACCGCATCCGCGAACATAAAGCAGACTTGAAACACGGTAGAACGAACTCCTCTGCCGTGGCAGATCACTGTTATAATTCAGTGGGCTCACATGAAATTGACTTCTCCAAGACGGAGGTTCTTTGCAAACCAACCGGCTACCATGAGAGATTCGTTCATGAGGCTATTCACATATACAAGCACAGAGACAATTTCAACCGAGAAGATGGATTCTGGCTTAGTAACCATTGGAAATATGTTTTAAACCATTTTCGTTCTTAATTAATTGTATTTTACGATGACCTTCAGACCGCAGCTCTTTCGCTGGCATTGACTCTTAATACCTCTCACACCACGGTTAATGGTATGGTTTACAACATGGAGTATAACAGCGCCTCGCAGCTGTATCTCTCCCCCTCCTCTGTTCCGACCATGGATGAACTCGTCCGTCTGAACGGGGCCCGTAGCTATCCGTGTTGCTAAAGTTGAGGGTAAGAATCCACCCATTTTTTCGCCATATAGCATTGTGATATATAACGACTTATTGTTGGTAGCTTAGCTGATTGGAGAATATATAGAGTTTATTGATAACATTGAGGTAATTTATATTTTAGTTTTTTATTGGTTCACTATTTAGTATTCATTATATATTGTAGTGTATACCCAGTTACTGTGAATAGCTCAGATGTGTAGGCCTTGATTTAAACATAGCCATTTCTGTGACCAGTCACAAGCTAATCACTCAGTTATTTCAATGCTAAATTCGCCTAGTTATTTCAATGCTAAATTCTCCTGTTTGATTTGTACTAGGTGCCTCTGTGAATGTATATGCTCTGACTTTAACATAGCTATTTCTGTGATCAGTTACAAGCGAATAACTCAGCTATTTCAATGCTAAATTCAATGCTAATTCCTTTGTCAAGGGGTACCTCTGCGGATGTGTATACTTTAACTCAGCTATTTCAATGCTAAATTCTATGCTAATTCCATTGTCAAGGGGTGCCTCTGCGGATGTGTATGCTTTAACTTAGCTATTTAAATGCTGAATTCTATTCTAATTCCTTTGTCAAGGGGTACCTCTGCGGATGTGTATGCTTTAACTTTAACATAGCCATTTCAATGACCAGTCACAAGCTAATCACTCAGCCATTTCAATGCTAAATTCTATGCTAATTCCTTTGTCAAGGGGCTTTGTTTCTTCTCACACAGCTTAAAGGTCGCGATCTGAGCATGGCTTTTTTCACTCCAGCGCTGTCCTCCAGACAGTCTCGTCCCTTCACCTTATGAAGGCCGCTTGTGTTGTGGCCGAAACGTCGTGAGAATATTATTGTGTTATTTTATTTTATTAATTTATTATTTTATTCTCATTCTACATGACTTTACCGAAAGAACCAAAGAAGATGAATCCTTGCAGTCACGAAAGCTTTAAATCGAAATCTCTTGACTCTATCATAGTATCTACTGACTATAATAGTATCTACTGACTATAGTAGCAACTACTGCCTCGATAGTAGTACCTACTGACTCCATAGTAGTAAATGCACACATTGGAGTGGGGTCAGAGAAGAGGACATCACACTGTTCAGGATTTACCTCAGCATATGCTTCTGCAGCAGTAACTGTGCCTGATTTTTTTGGCGTTGCTAGGGGCAACCGCGTTTCTGCAAATGCGCAGATGAGTACTTTCGCGCGTGTCCAAAGTTATTATCACGATCAGCGTACATTGTTACAAAGTGTGATTTTCTTAGTTTACTTCGAACTAAGGGCAAAAACAAATAGCGAGTTTTCGTAGGAGGGTTTAGTTTTTTGTATCTGTGTACTTTGTTGAAACGTAAACTCAAGAGTTTGTCAGTTAAATGCATTACAAGGATAGGCATGCACAGACAGACAGACAGAGAGACAGACAGAGACACAAAAAATTACGTTTATAGGTAAGATGAGATGAATGTGCTAAAAGAGGCAACATTCTATTGGCAATGCTTGCATCAACACCCCCCTGCGCTGGGGTGAAGGGAGGGAGACGGGTCATCATGCCATATTCCCTTGCATGCATTGCAGTTGTGCTTATGATTGTCATTATGGTTGTGATTAGAATGTGGTAATAGTTGTGGTTATGTGATGGCTGTCGTTATAGGGTGGTTTTCATGTGGTAATGGCTATTATGGTTGTGGTTATATTGTGGCTTCTATTGTGGATATAAAAATGTGGTGTTGATAATACTAATCTTGTTGTTGTTCTAGATGGCATTGTTTATATATTGTCGTTAATATGAACCATTATATTATGTCATTGACCTTATTGTTGTAGATATATTACATTGTTGTTGGTCTTCATGTTGATATGTTCTATCAACCATAATCTTGTGGATGTTGGTGTATCATGTTATTGTTGAAATTATTGCTTGAAATTAGGACATTGGGAAACGAATAACAAGAGATCCATATCACTTGCAATTCGTTCGGTAATATCCTGCTTGAATACAAGTAAACACTCATAGAGTGATGCTTTGCACAGACAGTATCCATTGCTAAGACAACTTATTCAAATGAAATGTAGTCATGAAATACTATTTCATTCCAAAGCCAAAATACTTTTTTCTAACACGGTAGTTAACTTCATGTCAATCTACAATATAACAACCCCACAATCATTGGTGAAACAATTCTGCAGGCTAAACAAACCAAAGTTATTGAACACTGACAACCATACAGAGTACTGAATTGCTGAGTTTAAAATTATGTTTCCATGCATGTAATTTAATTAGAATTACTTGGAAAATAAAAAGGAAATAATGTACAGTATATGTTCTTAAATATCCTACTCATGAAGAGTATAGAATTGTGTACATCCTTCATATTTTGTTCAATAAATTAATTTCATTTGGTGAACACGTTTAAGTTAAAATAAGCTACATAATGTATTCCATCCAATTACAGACAATTAATTTAATTTCATTTTTTTCAATAAAAAAGGTAAGCAACTACTTTTAAATGAAACCCATGTAATATTTATCCATTGTGATGGTATGGCTGCAAATACTGCTTGGAACATTTCTCCAAGTTTTGACTTTTAGAATATGTGCATAATAAAAAAAATACATTTTTACTTGCATCACCCTGATCAAGTAACATATATGATTGTAATTTTCCAAGTAAAAGCGATCCTATTCCATACAATGCAAGAAAATAATAACGTGCAAAGGAATTGAATTATAACCTATAAAAATCAGTGTACACGTATAGACAAATGTTACCTTCGGCTAATAAAACAAGACAAATTCTCATTCTATTTCAGGTGAATAGCATGTAGTGGTGCTGAGTAGAGAGGGTTCATTTTTATGACTACTGCGAATGCGAGTTTAGAATGTTACCACACCCATCCCTCAGAGTACCAAAAATAATACGTAAATTATGGCAAAATTACTTGTCAGGAGATATAGCACCAGCAGCATAACCAGAAATGTTGAAAAATACATTTGGCCCCAAAAAAACTTAATCAACTTACTCCGCTTACCTTTATTGCATGATCAATTTAAGAAATGCCTGTCAATCAATCTCCAGTATTTGTGGAATTTCTAAGAATTTAGAGGACACCTGGCACAATGGTATACCACCAGTTTAAAGTGGAATACGCTTGTACATGGCTTCATACAGCTATTGATGACTCGTCTAAGCCACCGCTTTACTCTAAAGTACAGTTTACAACCATTATCTCACATTAACCATTTACATATTGTAATTTACCACTGGAAATGTAACACAAGCATCAACTTAGCCCTGCTCGCTACAGCCCAAGAACATTGTATATAAATCACTTCATACAGGTGCATGGCACATTTTCCTGGATTTTTACTTCGTTGAATAGGATTACATTAGACAATTAGGCTGTCAAAAATCTCATTATAAATACAGTTGTAGGAACCTTCATTTAAATCAATGGAACTGTCAAATCGCCATTCATCTCCTTTCAAACTGACAATACAATGACCACCACTAGATTGTGCAGGCTGGAAGTCCCAAACTGTGTATTGGTAATTACCATCATTTCAGCAATCCCAAGGTCCTGTTAGAAATGTTTTTTTCCAATAATCACACTGTGATCTGGCCTGCATGGAAATAACACAGAATGAAAATGTTGTACAAAGCCGATATCTGCTGTGGAACTGGAGAATCACTAGCACTATACGTTAATAGTCCATATTCCTTGCCACAACGCAGAATGGGCAGCATTACTTAAGCAGTATGAGCTAACTGGCACCCTAGAAATAGCAGACCATCTCATTGAATCACTGGACAACACCAAATGTGCCAGATGATAGGAAAAAACTGAGACACTTGATGTCACTAGATCGATTCGGATATGTTCGAGCCTAATTCTTCAACTTTGAGTGGCTCCGCAGCCACCAATACCAAGTTGCCCATCGGTCAAACTGAACCAAGTTGCCAGCCACCTATTATGTGTAGCGAAGGCTACAATGGAGAAGCATGTCAAGTGAAGGGTTCAAACAAAATGAGTGGAGGGAATAATTAAATCACCGAATTTGACAAAGTCCTAAGCAGCATATAATACAGCACCGCCACAGGCTATGACTACATCTTTGCAGAATTATTGAAACATCTTGGTTAGTCTAATTGCATATCAGGTTAACCACTGAAGGCAAGCTGTCAAAGATTTGGTGCAATACGACAGTCCTCACCCATTCAAAACTGGGCTACAAGCTACCGGCCAATATCACTGCTCTCCGTGTGTTTCAAAGTCATAGAATGTTTAGATCTATATTACCAGAAGGGGGACACATCCTGAGTATCAACCAGGCTGGCTGTTGAGGTGGCAGTAAGTATAACCAGGTGTTGGCATGACTCTGATTATCAAGAGTGGCTATCAAAAAAAATCCTCAGACAGGGGCTGTGTTGCTGGACTTGACAGCAGCCTATGACGCAGTCTGGCATACATCACTCCAAGTGGATATGTCCAGAGTACTGCCAAGATGAGTGGTTAATGTCACCAAATTGCTTCTGTGTGACATGAGGTTCATAATTCACATGGGAAAGAAGACAAGTGCTTGGAGGAGGCATATCAACAGCCTGTCTCAGGGCACCATATTAGAACCAACCTTGTTTAACCTCCACACAAACGACCAACCACCCAGCACTGAAAGTTACTCTATGCAAACAACATTTTCAGTGTAATACAGGCCCAGACGCTTCTCGAACTGGAGAATACAGTAAATCATATCAACAGGCTGGTTAACTACTGCAAGATGTAGCATCCTCTGTTTAAAGTTACCAAGACAGTGTTGGCAAGTTAGCTCGCTCATTATGGAAGGCCAGTGCTACAACTCTACGCATTTGAAGTGCCATTGTTAAGCTGTATGTGGACATGTGTCAACAGGGGGTGGTAGTCAGGCTAGGTGGGATGAGTCGGGCCCTCATCCCACCTAGCCACCAGGCACCCCAGACCCCAAGAGGGGGGGGAGGGCTGGGGGGATACCATCATGTTCCAGGACCCTCTAGAAAGTTCCAGAAGGAAGGTGTGGCTAGGGGCGGAGAGACTCTGGAGCGAGTATAAAAGGCGGCCCTCTGAACGCGTCTGGGAGTCGTCATCAAGCTGAAGATCCGAAGAGCCAGCCAAGAATAGGACCCTGGGAACCCCCGGACCTGCCATCCTTCTAAGGGCCAGGACTAACTGGGCCAGTGGTCGGACCCTGGGAACCCCCGGACTCGACGTCCTTCTAAGGGCCGGGACCGAGCAGGCCAGTGGCCGGGACCTGAGGACCTTGGCTGGGTCGGGTCAGCTAGCCTCCCCTAGGTCCCCCTAGCTGAAGGGCTGAGATATACTGTAGAGTGGTCCCAGTGATAGAGGGCACGATAGCCCAGAGGCTGTACTTCCCCAGGCATTGGTGGAAGGGGCCATTATCCCTTTGTGTTAAGGACCCTGAATTGTTATAAATAAACGTGTTGCCTCTAAAGAACCGTCTCTCCTCGAGTTGGACCCACTACACATGTCAGCACTATCAATCTCGTACTCAACAGCAGAATATCTCGTTCCTGTTTGTCGTCAGTCATAGCACACGAAGCCGGTTGACGTGCAGTTACATTCTAAAATACACATCTCGAACTCTGCAACTGGTTTCTCTCCCTTTGCTACAGTTTTGAGCAACATCACCCTTCCACACCTTTGTTGGGAGGCTGACTGCCAAGCTATTGAGGATTTGTGCTAACCCAAATCTGCTGACATACTTCAATATTAGCCCACCAGCTACCTGTCTGTCATCACACCACACACTACAGACCAACACGCTGTGTGAGGAAGTGGCGGCAGAGTCACTCTGGTGTGAGGAGTGGATTTCTTCATCAACAAGGATCCAATTCCTAATCGGCAACCCTATAATTGGTGCCATTACTCGGCCATAATCAAACCAGCCACGGCCTGTGTGTTGCAAGCCTGCACAGGTGGGACTTATGCAACAACCCACACTGTAGCTGTGGTGCTCGACTATGATGCACATTAAGACTGCTAACCACACCTCGCATCAGTATGAGGACACTGCATTCTGGAAACAATGAAGCAAATGCACGCGCTAAATAAATCTATATATGCAATATGCATATGGTGTTCATACATAGCTTACTGTCAAAAATATAACAATCTGTTTTTCCACATCAAAATAATTTTAAGGTATTAGCCATGAGGGTCAAGTGATGGGAAATTAGGTTCTTCCTGAAGGTTCTGGAAAAGGGGCGTGGCCAGGGGCGGAGTCGGCCACGCCAGAGAAAAATATAATCTGAGTCCCGAGAGGGAGCTGGACTGTCCGTCCGGGGGAAGAAACCCTTTGTCTACGATCTCGGATCGTCAAGACTTCCAGCACGTGGACCCGGGCAGTATGCTGTTGGTCCCGGTCAGAAGTTGATAGTTATCCTGTAACTTGCATAGTTAGCCAGGGTGGTCACCACCCTAGGTTGCTGTCTTGTTAAGGGATAATAGTACCCCGTTGTGTTGAAGTAATAAATGCGCTGCCTCCGAGTCTAAGTGGGAGACTCAGTTGAACCCACTACACATGTAACAAGTGGAGTTCACAATTCCTATACTACCTTCTAATGGCAAGCCAGGGTATGGCACCCCGATGCCCATGGGAAGGGAGTTTCACAACCTTTGTGTGATCCACAAACCCTCATCTCGACAGTGGCTGATTAAGGCATCTGCCACCACTGCCTGGCTAATATACGGTATGTGTGTGCAGATGCACAATTATGTTAACGTACATATTACCATATATGTATTCGTATAATCTACGTAATAATCTATACATTGGTCGATTATTATTGTGTTTTAATTATGTTTCCATTCTTAAATAAGATCTACACGGGGGCCCCAGGCGGGGGCTAGGGGGTGGTCACGTGTCAGGGTAAGATCCTATGGGAAGGGTCGAGAAACGACAAGAGGTTTCTTCGAAGGTGGTCGTGGCCAGGGGCGGGGCCAGCCACGACCCAGGAGCATATAAACCGGGTCCCCACAGGGACCTGGGCTCTGCATTGCTGTCATCATCCGAAGATCTACGATCTACGTCCAAGAGAAGAAGTCACCAACACGTGGACGAGAACCCAAGCCAGGCTCCTGTTCATTATAGCTACTCCCAGAAACTAGCGTAGCTAGCCTGGTGGTCCACCACCATAAGTTAGCTGGTGAAGGGGCAATAACCCATTTGTGTGAATGTGTTGGGGTAAATAAATCCACTACCACTGGTGTCAGAAGTGGCCAAACGCTATTTTTTACTTAGCTAGCCGTTAGACTATGTCTATGCACCGCAGACTACATACCAGCACATCAGACGATGAAGACGAAGATCTCATCCCGCAAACAGCCCCAAAGGAGGGAGGTGAAGCATTGCCGGCAGAAAAATGCACCGACCGGCCACGCGACTACTCCACGCCTCGCAGAGCTCCTCCATGCCACGGCGTCCATCCTCGCGGAGCTCCAAGTCACGAAGCAGGCGGGGGAAGTGGGAGCAACAGAGCCACTTGGCAACGAAGTACCCGCCGCCATTTCCCGCCAAGCGGAAACCTCCGTGGCGCAGCCCGTGCTTGCAGCCGCCATCTTCTCCGAAGAGCGGAGGCGCGTGACCCGCCAAATCCGAAGTTGCGTCGAAATCGTCGGTGGACATTCCATCTCTCCGGCAACGACTTCCCTTCGTAAAATAATTTACAGCCGCCAGAGGCGACTGGGTGGCCTTCAAGCGGCGGTTCCTGACGAACGCCAACTTGGCGGGGTGGACAGAGGTGGAGGCGCTGACAGTGCTGCCTGCCGCCCTTGATGACGACGCCCTGGCAGCGTTCCTCATCATCCTACCGTCGAAGAGGGCTATGTTTACTCAAGCCTTCAACCAAATGGCGGCCATTTACGAGCCGCTGTCCAACGTACGCCACAAGTTCGCTACGTGGAAGATAGGGGAAACCGAGATGCCCCTTGCCTTCCGTAGCACACTTTTGGTGCTGGCGAAGGCTGCCTTTCCAAGAATGGACCACGACGGAGTCGACTCGTTAGTTCTTGAGAGACTCCTGGCTTTGGCTAAGGACCTCAATGTTGTTCTGCCAGCTGTAGACGACGATCTTTCGTCCATCAGGGTTGCGAAATGCATTCAGGATAACCAGCTCCTACAACGGCACAAGAGGTCGGTGGCGTGTTCCGCGCCCCACGAGGGGCCGGATACACCTGAAGACGTGGAGCCCATCCCAGCCTGCGCATTGACCCAGAGTGGAGGCGGGCGAGGGGACGGCATGGTGCGGCGGGCGAATGACCAGCGGCGGCAAAACCATCTCCTCGTCCCAGGAGCAGCCCTGTCGTGTGCTACAGCTGCGGCCTGCCGGGACACGTCTCGTCGGGCTGCCGTATACCACAACGATGCCTCCCCGGAGCACCGCTGTCATCTGCCCGACCGTCCTTCGTTCCACTGCACCCTAAGGCGAGTCGCAACACATTCCACATTCCACCCCTGAATCCAACTCACCCATCTCGTGTGGTCGGGTCTTGTTCCGGTCGCGCGTCGCGGCGGGAGGATTTTGATGTTGATCGGGCCGGCCAGACGCTCCGACCGGGTAAGTGGTCGGAGCTGGCCCATCGAGTGGTGGCCGCGACCGCAGGTTCATCTGCTGTTGTTGGACTGATAGAAGGGGTGGAGATTAGGATGCTCGTTGACACCGGTGCATCAGTGACCATAATTTCAGAATTAATTTATAACATCTTACCCCCTAAATGGCATTCCTTATGCTCTGTCGTTGCCCCGTGCTTCGCCGAAAACGTCAGCTCATTGGGCATTATTGGGAAAATAACAGCGGATGGTAATTCCAGGCACTTATACACGGCTAATGCTACCGTGCAAGCACTTGTGTTTGGATGGTGAGGATTCCCCCCGGCACGTAAATGTTTGTTCCCCTACGATTGTGGAAGCCGCTAGACCGAAGGGCGATGGCGGGAGGAATCATCTTGGGTCCTGCTAATAAAGTCAGTCGTGATTTGACGTTGGTGGGGGCGCAGATGTTGGTATCCAACGACCAGGAACCCTTCATTCAGGTCCTTAACGCAGGGTTAGACACATCGGTCATCCAGGAAGGTACTGTACTAGCTCATGCGTCACCAGCGCTTCCTGAGGGAAGCATTGTTGGCAATATGTGTGCCACGTTGAATACACGGCCGCACCAGAAACCTGATGAGGGGTGGATTGAAAAGCTCTGTTCCGAGAATGCGGAGTTGTCCGGGGTCCAGAGGGGGAAATTGCGGGTGCTTTTGCACGATTTTTCGGACGTTTTTAGTAAAGGCAAATTTGATATTGGATGCACTATGCTTTTGAGTCATCACATTGATACGGGCGATGCTGCTCCCATCTGTCAGAATCCCTACTGGCTGAGCTCTACAGAAAAGGAACACGTTTGGCTGGCGGTTGACGAAATGTTAGCTGCAGACATTATTTCACCATTCACTAGCCCATGGGGAGCACCAATTGTACTCGTTAAAAAGCACGATGGTAGCTTGCGCTTTTGTGTTGACTTCCGTAAGCTTAATAAGGTCTCTGTCGCTGATGCATACCCTTTACCTTGAATGGATGACTCACTGGATGCTCTAGCCGGAGTGCGGTTCTTTTCCACTATCGATCTCCTATCAGGGTTCTGGCAGTTGCCACTAGACAAAGCCTCTAAGCCCAAGATAGCCTTTCGTACACACACAAGGCTTGTTCGAATTCAATCGGCTTCCGATGGGTCTTCATTCCGTGCCGGCCACGTTCCAGCGATTGATGGAACTGGTCCTGGCTGGTCTCCAGTGGACCTCTTGCTTGGTATACCTCGACAATGTCATCATTTTCAGCCGTACGTTTGACGAAAACCTGCAACGGCTACACGCTGTCTTAAAATGCGTGCGGCCAACCTGAAATTTAAACCACAGAAATGTCACTTCCTCCAGAAATTGATTCGGTATCTTGGCCACATTATGAGTGAATCAGGTATTGCGACTTACCCGGACAAAACGGCGTGTGTTCTGAACTTGGCCGACCCCGACGTCGGTGAGGGAGGTACGTAGTTTCATAGGATTCGCGTCCTATTACCGCCGTTTTGTCCCCAGGTTTGCTACAATCGCTAAGCCTCTTCACGCCTTGACGGAAAAGGGTCATGAATTCCATTGGGGGGAGGAGGAGGAGGCCGCATTTGTTGCGCTCCGGGATGGCTTGGTGAACGCCCTTCCCCTCCGCTACCCCGATTTTTCATTGCCGTTTGTCCTTGATAGACGCTAGTAACACCGGAATTGGAGCTGTTCTGTCCCAAATTGTCAATGGTGTTGAGAGTGTTGTCGCATACAGCAGCAGGGTGCTGTCTCCGGCCGAACAACGGTATTGTGTAACACGGCGGGAACTGTTGGCCATTGTGTTTTTTGTGCCATTGTATCATCCCTATTTTTATGGTAGATATTTTGAGGTACACTCTGACCACGCAGCGCTACAGTACGCGCTGCATGTGGATCAGCCATCTGGCCAATTTTCACGCTGGTTGAACGTCCTCCAGAATTACTCCTTTAAGGTTACCTATCACAAGGGCTCCCGTCACACGAACGCTGACGTCCTGTCAAAATTACCAATGACCGGTGGGTGCACCTGCTTTTCAGGCTCCGGACGCTGTAAGCCGGCCGCAAAGCCCTCATCCCCTCCTCTCGCGGCGTTGTTCGAAGCCGTAACATTGGAGTTGGCCGAGGTTCCGGCGGTGCGTGATGCTGTCATTGGGTTGGACCAAGCAGAATGGGGGCACCACCAGGTGGAGGACGCCTCCCTGCTTAAATTGCGATGCCGTGTCAGAGAGCTTGAGGGGGGCGAGGATCGACGGGGTATTGCCTCTGTCATTCTTAGAGGCGGACTACTCATGCATTGGAATGGAGGGTTGCGCCGGTACAACATTGTTGTGGCTAATGCCCTACGGGGCAAGGTCATCTGGGCAATACATAGAGCGCTTGTTGCACCTAGGTGTGCATAAAATGCTGGCCACACTTAAGTTGGACTTCTTCTGGCCTGGCATGGCTGAGGATGTCGCTAATTTGTTGAAGGGGTGTGTGCAATGCGTGTGATGGAAGCCGCCGGCAAAACCCTATTGTCCGCCATTATAATCGATTCAGGTTTCCCGTGTGAATGAGTTGGTTGCGCTGGACATCCTTGGTCTGTTTCCCACTACCCCTCATGGGAATAAGTACTTGCTGGTTGGAGTCGAGTATTTTTCACGATGGCCTGTGGGCTGGCCGCTCCCCAACCAGTCAGCGGCGACAATCACTGAGGCATTCCTCAATGGCTATGTAATGGGCAAGGGTGCCCCCGAACGTCTTCTGACTGACCAGAGCAAAAAATGTTCTTCAAAGATGTTGTGGGAGGTGTGCGATTTGTTGGGAACAAAGAAAGTACGCATGTCACCGTACTACCCGTAATGGATGGCGTGGTGGAGCGCCTACACAGGACTCTGACGTCCATGTTGAGCTACCAGGTCAGCAAGTCCCAACTCGACTGGGATTTGCACATACCCGGAGTCCTATCTGCATATAGGATGGCCCCTCACGCATCCACCGGCTAATCACCGTTTTTTTTTAATGTACGGTAGAGAACACGACCCCCAATTGATATTCAGTTACAAGCCGCGCCCGACAAAGCTAAATCTAAAATTTCTGACTCTGAGTGTTTCACTCTTCAAAAGCTTTCGGAAGCGCAGGAAGCCTCTAGGGTTAATTCGGATTTGCGCCAATTGGCGAATGAGCGGCTGAGGGGTTCCCGTGTTTCAACACATGAGTGGGTGCCTGGGGACAGAGCCTGGTTGCATTGTCCACAGGTACCGGTGGGTATGTCGCCCAAATTGTTCAAACCTTGGAGAGGGCCGGTTGATGTCATTTGGGTTATTCGGCCACAGTGTGTCCAGAACCGCTTGGAGCGGCGGAGTCAGTTTGTGCATCCCTCGCACCTCAAACCCTTCATCGCGCTGCACGAATTCGTTCCATCTCCACACCGCAGGGCCCGAGTGTCAGATGTTTCCGGCGAGCTGGGGTGTGCCTGCTGAGGGTGGTCCTCAGCGGAGTCGTCTGATTCCGTCAACAGGTGCCGCGCGCCTGACGTCCCCAGCGCCGCCGCCTGCGCCATCTCCACTGGCATCAGGAGAGGAGAACCCGTCGACCCTGCCTACAACTCTTCGTGAGCAGCTGGGCGCGATGGGACATTTGCATTTTCCCCTGGGACCTCCAGGGAGAGCGAGTCCACCTTCCCTGGAGGCCCGGCCACGTGGACTCGTTCTAAAACTCTTCGGGTTTCGTGATCTGCACGCACACACACTCCCACACCCTCAGTTGGTTGTCGCACTCGGTAAGCCATATCGCTTATTGGTTGAACCTAGCCCTTATTGTGCTAGCGGGTGTTGTTACACGGTGAGGGTGGGAGATGTTGGCGATAGTAGAGGATTCCGAGAGTTCGCGATTCACTGCACTGCTTTTTTTTCTCTCTCTCGCATTGATCTGTACTCACACCCTTTTCCCCGATGTTAATGTACATTTGTAGGTAGTGTAAATATTGTATAGGTGGGTTAGGTTATTTCATTGGTAATTGTTCTTATTATTTGTTGAGGCACAAATAGCGTTTAATCACTTTTTAATCACTTTTGATCACTTTACTCACTTAGTTCGTTTTAAGGGGGAGTTGACAGTTGGGACGGCTGAGTGCTACAAAGGGGGGGGGGGGGGGGGTGATGTAGTGACATCTTAGATGTCACTGTGTAGTGCCGGGCCTAGAGGGGCATGGCGTGCAATGTACTTACATCGCGGACATCACGTATGTAGCGACATCGTGAATGTCGCTGAATAATGCCGGCCCTAGCGAGGCACGGCGTGCGATGCATTGTCATCGCAGACACCCCGTAGGTGGGTGTAGTACCAGCCCTAAAGGGGGCTCGGTGAGTGCTGGGATTGCGCAGTGGCACCACGCGTGGCGTGCAGTGCTGACTCCTACTGGAGGGAGTGTGAGATTGTCAGCCATGGGATGAGGTTACCCTGGGCCATGGCACTCTGGTTGACCCCAGAAGGCATGTGACAGGTAAGATTTACACGGGGGCCCTGCCCACGTCCCCCCCCCCCCAGCCTCACGTCTTCTTCCCCTTGCGCTCATGCGCCCCCCCCCCTACCCCACACCCCCCCCCTCTCTCCCCCCTTGCTCCTCCCCCCTTTTCTTACCTATATAACCTTTTGCCACGGCAGCTCTCCCGCCTACCTCAGCATTTTCTTGCTGTGGGTGTTCCACCACCTGATGAGGATCGCTTGTGTTGCGATCGAAACGTCATATTTTATTTTATTTCTTCCTACGTGGCTTTACCGAAAGAACCAAACAGTATGGATTCCTGCAGTCACGAAAGCTTCAAACTAAGATTTAGGCTGATGTAAACAAAAAAATCAGCCTTACCGACATGAAACTTGAGGTCCTCAGTAGGCTCCCAACCATCTGACAAAATAATTAAATTTATTTTATCACAGTTTATACATTTGTAAGTTATATTACAACAGCTTTAACGTCAATTGTATGCTAACATTGTATTTCACTACAAACTAAAGTATAAGTATGCATATTTATCTGAGTACAACATTACTTTGAAAAGCAATTACCTTGCAAGCATTGTACATAAGTACACCATTTCAGAATTCAAAGCTTTATTTGGTGTTACTTTGCATTCCTATTTTTTATGTGATATACAAAAATAGCAATGTAGTGATAAATAGTAAATACTAAATTATAGCTTACAATTGTACAAACATAATATTGGGGTTCCTAAGTTTATGTAATATTAGTTATTGTGCACATCTCCAACCCATGGGTTTCATCTTTCAAGCCTGGAAGAGCATGAACTTACCTCTGGGGACATATCCTTTAGAGATCTCAATATAACTGGTAACATCTAAAAACAAAAATGAACATACATTAATATTAAAATGTCTGCATCATAACTTATAGCCAGAAAGTGTTGGTTATATTATTGTCTGAGCTTGGATAACTACATCAATTTCAAAGGAGTAAAAACTTTAAGAAGGGAATTGGACAAGGTTTTTACTAGCGTTGTTCACAGCAACACTCGATGACATTATCCTAAAATTAAATTGGAGAAAAAAATCCATCTCTTTTAATGGAGAAAACATGAACCATCTCAGGGTTGGTAATGAGACGATGATTATAAAGGCCAATGGGAACAGACTGCAGGAAATGTGTTTCAAAAGTTATAAGAGAAGGCTGCAAAGTTGGGATAAATGAAAAAACCAGAGGTCGTATAGGACATATTTTCTAATCGACTAGAGATATGTCAGAGGGACATAATGAAAGAAAAACATTGAAATGTGAGCAAAGAAGCATAATTTTTTTGGAATCGCATTGAGAGACACATGCACATGTAGATTAGAGAACATACACAAGTTAATGACATCATTATAACTATGGTCATGTACAAGTCATGCATCTCATTTAAATTACAAGCTAAAATATACTTTTAGCTGTGCAACAAAGTTAACTCTCCAATCACCACTGACAATATTTTAATAGGTATATATACATGGTCATGTTGAGTAAAAAATCATTCATGATAATATCAAGTATGGTAGTTCCACAGTTCTATCATATGTAACAATGATATTCTTATCCAAAGTAAAATTACTAATCTTCTTGGCACAATAATCTCATCTGACTTATCAGGCAATATGGTTTAAAGATATTTTTTAAACATGTTTTTGTTGCGGGACATATATATGAATGCTATATTGTCTGCTTATTTATTTTGTCATGCAATGGCTGGCTATATTACTAATCTGGATGAGGAGACCTCAAAAAGGCGTGGCTTTCTTTTCCATGTGAAGATTTTTTGTGATATTAAAAACTATCACTGTTAAATTTTTTGCAGTCGGTTTGATTGATCCAGCACTCACTGATTCACTCCAGTCACTCACTCACCAGTGATCCGTTACCTTCTTACTTTCCTATCGTTATTGCCAAGGTCATTTGATGTATTCACCCATGTTCAGAAATTGGTCTACAAGATGGCATGTGTTATCTCACTCCTGTATTCAACGACCAAATTGCATATCAAACCTTTATTTCTGCCTCTTCATATGCACTGCTCGACTTTGAATTCCCTCCCATCGTCTCTTTTCCCAAGTTCTTATAAATAATGTTGCTCAATTCATGAAACATATAACCTTCGATTAGTATGGTTGGCTACGCATGGTGGGAAAGAAGTTCTACATGCATATAAAATCGTATTATATCATTAATAGTGCTGTTATTTGCTGGGTCTTTGCTCAGCAACCATGGTGAAAACAATCATAACCCAACCTCTACATGAAAACTAAGGAATGCCATCTCTTAATCATTCATCAACTGAAACTCAAAGAAAGTGATTGGATAAATGTCTACGGAGTCCGTAGTTCCAAAGACTATTTATTTCCCTGCATCTGCAAGGGCAATTGACTTCCTTCTTTCAATAAAGGGTAGCAAAGCATGCAGCAGGTGGGATGATGAGTTTTGATGAATTTCATCATGCCACGATGCAAATTCTGTATTCAAAGCACGCTGACTATCAGGCTCTACTATTATCCTATTGTACAAGAAAGAAGTTCTACATGCATATAAAATCGTATTATATCATTAATAGTGCTGTTATTTGCTGGGTCTTTGCTCAGCAACCATGGTGAAAACAATCATAACCCAACCTCTACATGAAAACTAAGGAATGCCATCTCTTAATCATTCATCAACTGAAACTCAAAGAAAGTGATTGGATAAATGTCTACGGAGTCCGTAGTTCCAAAGACTATTTATTTCCCTGCATCTGCAAGGGCAATTGACTTCCTTCTTTCAATAAAGGGTAGCAAAGCATGCAGCAGGTGGGATGATGAGTTTTGATGAATTTCATCATGCCACGATGCAAATTCTGTATTCAAAGCACGCTGACTATCAGGCTCTACTATTATCCTATTGTACAAGAAAGAAGTTCTACATGCATATAAAATCGTATTATATCATTAATAGTGCTGTTATTTGCTGGGTCTTTGCTCAGCAACCATGGTGAAAACAATCATAACCCAACCTCTACATGAAAACTAAGGAATGCCATCTCTTAATCATTCATCAACTGAAACTCAAAGAAAGTGATTGGATAAATGTCTACGGAGTCCGTAGTTCCAAAGACTATTTATTTCCCTGCATCTGCAAGGGCAATTGACTTCCTTCTTTCAATAAAGGGTAGCAAAGCATGCAGCAGGTGGGATGATGAGTTTTGATGAATTTCATCATGCCACGATGCAAATTCTGTATTCAAAGCACGCTATCAGGCTCTACTATTATCCTATTGTACAAAAACTTGAACTTACACGTGGGTTTATGATTCTGTATGCATGTGTATACAAAAACACTACACCTCTAGATAAAGACTGTTAGCAGTGCAAAGTAATTGCTAATGCAATGTATAATGCGCTCAATTTAAAACGTCACTGCAGATTGTATGTACAATTCAGTTTAGACAGCAGGTTATGCTAATAATACATTAAATTCAATAGGATTGTGTAAAATTCAGAACAGGTGACATGTCTTGAGAAAGCTTACCCATATTTCATGCATCATGAAGTGTTATAACTTACATCAGCAGATACAGTTTCCATTGATCTCATAACGTTTGCAGACATCTAAAAACAGATAAACAATATTGAATACCAATTATTTATACTTAAAAAATAAAAAAACACGCTAATGTATCAAAATTACATATAAAATATAAGTACAGTTTACAACTAAGTTAGATAAGTGTCACAGTGATTAGTACACTTCTATTAGTTCAATTTCCGGCTGCGGCTAACATTATTCATGAGTTATATCTAAACAATTATTTCTTACGTTATAACTCCCTGAGACAAAGACTGAGTTATAAAATGCAAGGTGAGTTTATATATAATGTACACACACAAACGAAGAAAAGCTGCAATGTTTGGCTCAGGATAAATATGAGCAATATATATTTCATGTATAACAAGTTCACTAAACCAGTGGACTAATCTTACAGACTGGTACACTTGTCAGTTCAAACATGTTTTTAATAAAAACTGAGTGTTTTGTCAGTCTTTCTTTCAAATGTTTTAAACGTAGTTTTTGTTGGCGTTCATTCTATGTTCAGTTGTCCACAATTTCAGGATAATTGTCATCTAATGTATATTACTTGATAAAATATGGTGTCAGGCAGGAAGTCCAACTGATTGTGTTTTGGCTAAGGTTTAGGTTAACCAAAAACAGTTTTGACCAGTCAGTTCAGTCAGTTCAAATATTCTAAATGGTCTGGGAAAATTTGGTTCTGGTTAAAATTTGCACATTTGCTCAAAAGGATCGCCATGCATGATGCAATGTTAATTGCAAAGCAAAGGCGGATGTGTTTGATCGCTTCAAACATGTTTCTATTTCTATGTTGCACAAAACAGTGAAACGGAGCTACATGGAGATTCAGTGACAAATGGAGAGGCAAAACAAATCATTAAGATGCAGAAACAAAGATGCACAAAGAAATGGAGATACAAAGAAAAAATGAGAAGCATATAAGAGACAGAAACAGGTGCAGATGCATATAGACAAACGGAGATGCAAAAAGACAATCTAAGAGACAGAGATATGACTAAATGTCAAATACCTTTAATTAAGCTTTCATTAACTTTTTTTTCTTTACGATGAAATCAGCAATCTCTCCATTTCACAGTAAAATATTGCTTTAATGGATGAACACTGAACAGTGTTTTGTGCTTAGTTGTTTTGCTTGTGGTCTATGCATTATTGCAAGTTCAAAAGAACAGCACGTATAATAAAATCTAGATTAACAGGTAAAATCAGTTTCCAGTTAGTTATCAGTTCGACTCCCTAGTCGTGGGTAACTATGTTAAAATGTAGACTTAATATTACATGGCAACTTAAAGAATGGGAGAAAACCAAGCAGTAGAAAAAAACTTATGATAATCGTTATAGAACAGATTAATCACTGTTTTCGGTTGAGTCATCAAATTAGAAACTAGCTTGCTCCCAGAAATGTTCTTATATGATAAGATGTATGCAGTAGCCTACCTCTTCAGGCGCATTCCCCATGAATGTCAGGGCCTGTCCACACAACTAAAAACGTATGCAAACACCACGTTAAAGAATAATTCAATAATTGCGTGAAAGTCAGCAGTTTTTAATGTACATTTCTGATTTATTTAAAGTGAAGTGAATACAACACAGATAAGTTCAAACGTAACTATGACTTGCAATTATCAGGTATGATGTGACAATTATATGATTCATGGGCATCATAATGTATCTACAGTTGCTGCCATACACACAAATGTGTTCAAAACGTGTTTGAATAAAAATATAATTAAAGCAACATGCACATTTACCTCATATCGGGAAACGTTATTTACAACAATTTCGTAAAAAAATACAAGTGTTGGATGGGCGCAACTAAAACCCATCAGAGTATACATATGTACGACATTTAATGAAAGTGGATTAGGATCAAAATTTGGAATAAAGAGGTGCGTGAGAGTAGGTTGCAGAACTTTTTGAACACTGAACTTGATTATAAAAACATACTAATGTAACAAAATAAGAAAGTTTTAAATTGGGACATATAACATATGGGTCAGTAACATGGCGATTGACAATAGAACACAGCTTAAAATTACTCAAATAAGCATGGAGAAGTGCATGCTTGAAATTACCCTGCCAGAAAAAGACATTGATTGGGAAAATGTTCGAATTACAAACCTCTGATGGAGTGTTAACAACATTTGGGTTTGGAAATTACCAGGGCTGATAATCGCAAGAAATTACAGGGATGGAACTCGTAAATGATTCCCCCACTATATCTAGACCGTACACGAGATCTGAGGAGGAGCTTGCTTTGTGTGTGGGTCTGTATGCGTGTCTCGGCATCTATGCATGTCTGGCAGTCTCTGTGCTCCACTGCGGGTTTCTGTGGGTCTGTGTCTGTGGTTATCTGTGCATATCTGTGGCTCTATTAGTCTACGAGTCTATTTTTGAGTCAAATAAAAAAAAGTGAATCTTTGTTCCTTCTAGAACACAGTTGAGTTCAAATTTTCACTCCCACCACAGCGTTACAGCGCGTTCCGGCCCATGTCTAGCACTGGTAATTACACATCACGAGAAGAAATGATGGCTGATGGATAAAGATGGTAAAAGAATGACAGCCTAGGGAGGGATCCGTCCCAAAAATATGACCACCATGACGATTGAGTGAGATCTAGATGCAGAGCAACAACTAAATTTCACATTCAGGTGATCAAGCCAGATAACCGCATTAACAGCAGTGGAGTGTGTATCATTGTAATGGAGCCTTCATATTTGTGGATCGAGCATTGCATCATTATATGTTGTATGGTCTGTTCTGAATGACCGCAGTTGCACAATAGAGTTTTAAATTTTGCATTTGTGCGTCGGATAGTCCCCTCTGCCATGATTTGTACGGATGTGATTTCGGGTGGACCATGAGCTTCGTGGAAGATCAAACCCAGGGATCTTCTGCATTGGGTCTTTCACACGGTGTTTGTGAGTTTAAACTCCATTCAGCTCTCAAGCTTCATTGAGGTTAAATTCGCATTGTTTAAGGTTAAGCGGATGGGTCCAAAAGGACTTGCATCACTTCAAGCGATGGCGTGGGGTATTATTGAGGTCCTAATTAATGAGAAGGTGACCGTTTTCCTCGATTCACAGGACTTCCCTGAGCTTTATGGCAGATGGGTGGGGGGTAGATGTGCGACAGCACGGGCTACCAGGGTCTTGGGGTTGACTTGAGGGTTCCAGTGATGTATTGCGTTGCAGTGTTCAGTTGAACATCAACAAGTCGAGTGTGACTAGTAATGATGCAGGGAGATCTTCATCTCGCAGAATATTAAAATTGACGATTATGTAATATATAAATGACAACGAATATTTTCAAATACAGCAGATCATTACCTAGTTGGCAAGGATTGCGTTGTTGCTCCCAACTATGTTGCAGGCAGTGGATTGGCCAAAGGTTGCAAACGTGGATAAAGTAATGCTAACCCACAATGACTGGTCCACCATCTTCACTCCTCTCCAGGCTAATTTTGCATTCTGAATTTATTGTTGGATGATATTCAACACTAATTTCTGGATTAATGCCACCCAGTTTCAGTCATCCACATGCTGGTTCATTATATGTTCAGACATCCAAGATTAGTCTTTGTCAGTCAGAGCCAGGTGTTCTAATGCCTGAATGCAGATATTCTCTAATAATAGCTTACCTCCGATAATTTCTCTTTTTCACCATTTGTAGATCCCTAGAAAGGAAAATTGCAATGAATGTTTTTAGTGTTACTCATACATACAATAATGAGAAAAAGGATGTGAACCCCAATGATAATTATGGAAATTCCAGTTTTACCATGATAGCTTTCATGAATAAAAACCGGTCTTTTCTTAAATATCTAACGGTATAAACGACCAATTCCATGCCTTTTGAAACAAAATGATACGTGAATTAAACGAGTAATTAATAATCAAGGAATGTGAAACATAAGTGAACATAAGTGAACCCCCTGATAATTACAATCAGGGGTGAGGTTGGGAGGCCCAACCCTATATAACGATCATAAACGTTGTGAACTCGGTCCTCGTCATACAGGTGTGTGGAAACAGGTCATGCGACAATACAAATAAATCTCCGAGGACCTCAGAAAAAGAATTGATGCTCATCAGTCCAGAAAGGGTTAGAAAACCATTTCTAAGGATTTGGGGCTCCACAAATCCACTGCCAGACAGTCTATAAATGGATAAAGTTCAAGACCACACTCACTCGACCCAGGGAGCAGTTGTCTCATCAAAATCTCTCCAAGAACAAACCGGAAAATCATCAAGGAAGTCACAAAGAACCCCAGAGAAACATCCAAGGGTCTGCAGGCCACTCTCACCTTGGCTAATGCGAGTGTGCATGACTCAACTATAAGACAAATACTGAAGAATGCTGTTAAGTGAAGGATAGAAATGTGAAAAGCACTGCTCTTCACACTGGGTATGGCGCTCCGGCGAGTGAACACATACACACTGTTGGCTCTGTTATCAGTTTTTCTTATCTCTTTTTGACCAGTCAGTAATTGCATCAATAGTATCGTGTTCAGATCGGATTGTTGAAACAGGAATTGTGAATTGTGATGTTGCGCCAAGGTGTTTTAATGTACCGACTGGCCTGACTGGAAGATTAGTACGGAGATTTCTCAGCGGCTAATCACAGCAAATCAGGCACGGCACCAGCAGCAAATACAGCAACGACAGTTCTACAGGAACAACGACTGCAGCGACACTACAATTACTACAGCAACAGCTCCAACTGATGACACCAGCAACCTCTACTACTACAACAGCAACAGGGGACAACTACTACAGAGTTAACTACCAACACAGCAAACCTACAACTTCGAATATACAGTGGTTCCTCGTTTATCGCGGGGGATACGTTCTAAAAATAACCTGCAATAGACGAAATCCGCTAAGTAATCAGCTTTATTTTTTACAATTATTATACATGTTTTAAGGCCGTAAAACCCCTAACCACACACTTTTATACACTTTTCTCAGACAGGCATTAACATTTTCTCACATTTCTCTCTTATTTAAACACTCTCAAAGTTCAAACTTTCGCAGATATAAAAAAGTACAATATTAGTAAATGAAACCAAATATCAAAACCTGTTTTCAAGCCCAAACATTTTTAACAAATTTAATTTTAATGATCAATCTACGAGGTTTGACACATAAGTAATTATTACCAGTAACGCGCGTATTTCACAGTTCCTCTGAAGGTGCCTCTTTGTCCTGGCGCCGCTCCGCTGTAATGTCTTTTTCCTCTGAAGGCCTTGGTGCAGGTGTTTTTTCCGAGTGCAGAACATAGTTATGGGTAGTTGTTGGTACTGTTTTTTCTTCTGGGCCAGAAGATTCTTATAAACAGACATGCCACCTTCGATTATATTTGAGAACTGTAATGAACGGAACATCAAAGGGTCCCATTCTTGCGCAGCTCTCTGAAGTTCAGTGGCCATTCTCACCATGGTTGCCAAGCGATCAAGTGTTAGTCCATCCTCCTCCTCTTTATCAACACTTGTGTCCTCTTCTTCCTCTTCTCCATCATCCTCACTTGGTGGCTTTGTCATCTCTGCCAGGTCTTCATCAGTCAGCGGTTGTGAGTGGGCATCATCAGGGCATCAATGTCATCGGGAGTCATATCATTAAAGCCATCTCCCCCAAGCTGTTTAGCCAGATTCACAGCTGTATCTACCGCAGAGTGATGGATCTCATCAAGAGAGCATCCGGTGGGGTTGTGCACTGCCTCTGGCCACAGTTTTTTTCCAGCAGACATTTAAAGTTTCAGTTTTCATCTCATGAATGGCCCTCTGAATGTTTTGGAGACATGATGCAATGGTGTATTCATGCCAGTAGGCCTTTAGTGAGAAATCTTGATCCGAGTCCATAGCCTCAACAAGATGCTGCAGGGTGTTGCGCGTATAGAGCGCTTTGAAAGCGCGGATGATGCCTTGGTCCAAGGGCTGAATCAGCGATGTGGTGTTTGGCGGGAGAAATTCAATTTGCACACCATCATACGACAAATCATTAGCGTGGCCTCCAGCGTTGTCCACGAGCAGAAGCACTTTAAAATCCAGTCCTTTTCCTCTCAAGTAACGCTTGACTTCCGGAATAAAACAATGTTGGAACCAATCCAGATTGAGCACTTTTGTCATCCAAGCCTTTGCGTTGTGCATCCAGTAAACGGGCAACGCATTCTTATTTTTGTTTTTTAGGGCTCTCGGATTTTTTGACCTATAAATAAGCCCTGGTTTTATCATAAAGCCCGCAGCATTTCCACACATAACCAGAGTCACACGATCTTTTTGGGCTTTAAATCCAGAGGCTTTGGCTTCGTCCTGCATTATAAAGGTGCGAGGGCATTCGTTTCCAAAATAAGCCTGTCTCATCCATATTAAAAACTTGTTCAGGCTTATATCCCCCTTCCTCGATGATCACTTTACATTTGTTCACGTATGCCTCCAAAGCGTTGCTGGAATTTGTTAAACCAGCCCTTGCCGGCATTAAATGGGCTTGGTTCTGCGTGAAAAGCACTCTTTGATGGCCCGGGCTCCACATCATCTTGCTCCTCGCTGTCAGCAAAGGTTTCATGAAGTTTTTTAGCTTTTGGTGCGGATGATGTTGGTGTCCAGCGGAATGTTCTTTTTCCTGCTGTCACTGATCCACAGAGCTAAAGCAGACTCCATCCTTACGATGGTCTTGTTGCGGACAGTTACAACCCTTTTTGCATCCCTGTTAAAACTTATTGCTGCTGTCGTCCTTATGTTATTTTCCTCCTTCTTTATGTAACGAACCGAAGATTCATTTATTCCATAATGGCGCCCTACAGCCGCGTAACTTCTACCTTCCTTTAGCATGTCCAGAAGTCCAACTTTTTCTGCGATGGTTAGCATCTTCCTCTGCCTTTTGGGTGCGACCGCAGGTGCCTTTTCCTTGCAGTTCGTTTCATCGACATTATGGGTTTTTTCGGGTAGAAAACTTGCAAACATACAGCACTTCAGAGTCACACTGCTAGCGATTGAACATTTATGTAAATCTGGCTAGCCGAACGCATTCTGTACTCCCTTAGCTAATCAGGACGCAGAACACATGTGCGGTTCTCCCTTAGCCAATCAGGACGCCGAACACAATGCGCGTTCATACTGTACGCAGGAAAAAAAAGCATGCAAAATTACACAAAAAAAATCCGTAAAACAGCGAGGCCGCGAAAGGTGAACCGCGTTATAGTGAGGGACAACTGTAACAGCCATTACAATTGCATAATAAATAGCAACTACCACGGGTCAAACTGACGAAACCAGGATAAGCTGTGTTCCAGAGAGACCCCGGCCGCCTTTGTCTTCCCGCAGCGCGGGAGAGCGGTAATTAACACCAGAGTAAAAGAATTATCGCAGGGGCCATCTGCGCCACGGAAATACGGTGACTTAATAACACACCATCACACAAACATACAGCACCCCACCCCACTACGCAGCACCATCAAAAGGAGAGAGAGGGCGGGTAGGAACTCCCCAGGACAGCAGCTGCCGACAACGAAGCCGGGCAGACAAGTAATTAAAACAAAGCCTGGCCACCCAATATACATTGTCATACATAACATGAATGCTAACGATACTCACCTTAAATTGCGATGCACCTTGCCCGCCACCCGACCTCGCAAACACCAAGGAGTACGAATTCCAACCATCGAGAGGCTTACCTCTTGGCTCAGGATATCGGAAATAAAATGATATAAATGATAAAACATACGGATACACACGTACACTCCCACCCCCACAATACCCTTCGAGAGCAAAGGAGGAGGGGGCGGGGGGAAACTCTATAAAGCCCGGCAGCTGCCAGCGAAACCCAGCGAGCAAGTTTTAGTTAAAGAAAGATTACAATACATAGTATCACGCATAACATTAATGCTAACGCTATTCGCCATAAATTGTGATGCACCTTGCCCACTACCCGACCTTGCCAACACCAAGGAGTACGAATTCCAACCATCGAGAGGGTTACCTCTTGGCTCAGGATATCGGAAATAAAATGATATAAATGATAAAGCATACACACGGAATGACGAAAATTAATAAATCCTGAGGAAGGGTCAGGATGACGGGTTAAATCACAAACCTTGTTCAACATACTAACCAAATGATATTTGAGCGACGTTAAACCGAGGGCTAGCCAGAGAGGGAAAGAGAACCTCCTGGCCGCCTTTGTCTTCCCGCAGCACGTGATAAGAATATGCATAGCTCAAGAGAGCATCATCTCCTCGTGAAAATAAAAATCAGATACTTGGAGTCACAGACAGAATCCTAACTGCGAGCGGTACGGTATCAAACTGTGATAGAATAAATGTTAACTTTAAAAGCCTTAACCCATCCTTGGTGCGTAGAGAGTCACACAGGGGAGGTTCGCCCCCCCAGGATTGTATAACGCAGACAGAAGGGCGCCTTCGGAGCATCTGTTTCCTTTTGATGGTTTATGGCTTGAGGAAGGCAACAACGAACCATGTCATAAATGACACACACACAGACACACATACGGACACACACACACCCCGACCCCACGACACACAGCGGGATCAAAGGGAGATCAGCCCTTGTAAGGAGGCGGAGCCAAGGGGAGAGATTTTGTCATAAAAAGAGGGGCCCGCGAGCATTGAATTCAGCTCATCGACCAGCGGACCAGCTCATCGGCCAGCAGAAGAAGACGG